AATAATAGATACTGTATTGGCTATTACTCCAATACAGACTTATATAAACAACTTAATCGATATAAATACATCAAATAACAGTCGTTCGATCAGGGCGGAATAAGGCGGCGATCCGATCGGAGATCAGCTACGAGGGGGCTTGATTGGATTGAATTTCGTCGTTCGATCCGAACTCCGGCCTATCTCGCTCGCTAATTGTAATTGCCATGACGTCGCGTGAAGCCATTATGCTATTTCCACGGATCGCGGGGCCTCCTCGCCGACGCCGGCCCGCGGGCGCCTCCCTCCCTACAGCAGCCGGAGCTCCGCCGCCGTTCCTCGCCGGCCGACGGATGGTCCTCCAGCCAGGGTTTTCCCTTCGGAGAAGCAAGAAAATTTCGGTGGGCACCGAAATTCCGAAATTTCAGACAAATTCTGATATTTCGAACGAAATTTTTTGAAGAAATTTTTTTGCTGATTTCGAACGAAATCTGGCTTTTGAAGAAAGCCGGAAAGCAAGAGAGTTCATTACAAAACGAAAGGTAAAACACGAACTCTAACGATGGGGTCGCCAGCTTGACATTTTATTATAGTATAATAACTGAACAAAATTCCTGAGTATCCATTTCCGGCCAATCATCAGGGGAAGATACAGTTTAACTCAGGATAGATAGGCGAAAACCAAATCCATTACAGAAAGTAGCATGTCTTGAACAGAACAACTCTGATAAAGTAGCTCATTAATCGCCCAGTCTCTGCAGCTCGTTTCATTTCTTCAACCCAGATAGCCTACGTGATTCATTAATTAATTCCTACTTCTTCTTTCTTGAGACTCTATTAACCCCAGTTTTTACAAGAGTTCCTGCCTCACCTGCATCAAACACACAACATACAGAGAGAGGGTTTAAGTGGCACTTCAAAAACAAATCCTAGGAGTGCACCCTGAAAATTAAACACACTCATATGAATCAAGTTTCTAACCAGACAACTTGTAAACAGTAGTCAAAGTGAAGGTTATGAACTATCCATTAGATTATCGGAGTATTATGGTGCAACAGTTATAAAGCAAACCTGTAGCCTTGATAAGATATTTGGAGATCTCACTGGTGTTGTAGTAGCGCTCGAAGAGGAAATTCTTCCTCTCATCAAGCTCAGCCACGCCTTGCAGCGTCTTACTCCTCAGATCAACAGAGATAACCCATCCCTGATCATCCAAGCGATTGATCTTGGACAGGAAAGAAATGACATCCCCATCCATACCCAATGTGGGGAAACCTGTGACCAGCCTCCTCAATGTCTCCTCTGGATCATTGCCAATCTTTGGCAGCAGCTCACTGAACCTGACATTGTCGACGACGGCGATGTCGGTGACATCCACCGTGCACTCCATCTGCCAATCCCCCCATGAACCAACTGGTATCGGCATGCTCCATATGTTAGCCTTCCAGTAGTAAGCAACGTCCTCTTCCTCATCAGAGTCAGAGTCATCAGAATGTTGCGGCGGCTGTCGTTGTCGAGGAGGTGGCCGATCACCGGGGCGGGTCTCCATCTCGACGTACTTGATGCAGGTGGGAACAGAGTCCTGCACGACGACGGTGATGTCCCGGTAATGATGCGGCGGCCCTCTGCAGAAGGATTTGCGGTTGCTTCTCGCTGGCTTGGGCAGTGGCAGGTCGCGGAGCACCGGGTGTTGGTCAATCACGTCGTCACACAGCAGGATCCCTCTCCAGAGATCCACCCAGCCGATGGTGCCGCCGAGCGTGATGACCTTGGTGGTGCAGTGGAAGACCACCTGGCTGGCCGTGTCAGGGATGGGGAGCACCCTGTCCCTCTCGACCGGCTCGCTGATGGACACCGCCGTGGATTTCCAGCGGCCGACGTCGGAGTCGAAGCGCATAACCTTGAACTCCATGGGGCGCCTGATGGTTGGCATGAGGCAGGCGATGACGTAGCGGGCGCCGCCGGAGCAGCGGACGATGGCGACCTCCTCGTTGCGGAAGGGGGAGACGCGCGGGTTCGGCAGCAGCCGGAGCGAGGTGGCGCCGCCGGCCGTGTAGACGAAGTAGTCGTAGGATTTGATGCCGCGGTGGAGCCCATCGTTGGGGTGCGGGACGCGGAGGAGGGCTACATCGGTGTGCGTGCCGAGGACTTGGGGATCGACAGTGAACCGGTAGGCGCCCTCGCCGTCGCCGGGGCGGGGGCAGTGGACGCAGAGGTAGGAGAGGCGCGGCGGGCGGGCGAGGCAGAAGGAGACATGGATGTTTACGCCGGTGGTGGTGGTGGAGAAGGCGGTGGTGGAGTTGGAGACTGCATCGGGGGAGACGTAAGCTCTGTCTTCGAGGTACACCCAGCTTGGGCTCACGCCGCCGGTGGCGTCGTCGTCGGCCGGCAGCGGCGGCGGAAACAGCAAGGGTAGTAGCACACCCTCATCCATGACATAGGGGACGGGCTCATCACCATCATCCATGGCGAATCAAGCGGCGATCCGATCGGAGATCGGCGACGAGGGGGCTTGTTTGGATTGGATTGCGTCGTTCGATCGATCCGAATTTTTTGGAATCCCCGCCTATGTCGCTCGCTAATTGCGATGATGATGTCGCGCGAAGCCATGACGATGCTATTTCCGCGGATCGCGCGGGCGCCTCGCCGACGCCGGCGGATGGCACCTCCCCTCCAGCAGCCCGAGCTCCGCCGCCGTTACTCGCCGGCCGGCCGATGGTCCTTCTCCAGCCGCCGGAGCTCCAACACGAGTACTGCGTATGATGATGTGTTCCTTCCATGGATTGCTCTCCCTCTCTAGCTTTTTCGGTTTTCAATATGAAAGTCTATTGAATGGGTCAATTTTCCTTACAATCATCACATTGCAGGTTTTGAAATATGAAAACACTGCAAAATTAGTTTGTTTCTGGCGTACAGCTACAACTTACTGCTAACTCCGTCCTAAAATAAGTACCGTTTTACATTGTTTATATCCAACGTTTGACCGTTAGTCTTATTTAAATTTTATTTATTTATTATTATTACATGATAAAATATAAATAATACTTTATGTATGACTAATTTTTTATTTATAAATTATTTAAATAAGACGGATGATCAAACATTAAACACGAATACCCATGACTTTTTAGAACGAAGGTAGTAGAACACAAATCAACCCATCAATTTTATGATTGGCCTGTCAAAATGGTGCACAGAAACTACATGCCCGTCACAACAGTCGAAATCAAGCCCCGAGGGACAGAGAGATAGACTAGAGTGTAATTACGCTGGCGGATTTGCTATAAAATTTCTGTAAGTACTCTTTTCATGTATTTTTGATAGGCATATTTTTAAATCTGAAAAATTTACTTGATAGTTATATTTCAATCCAACCATCTATTCTCTTAATGACTTTCTCGGATTTAATGCGTGACTCTCTATTTTTCAACATAAGATTGGCTACATGGGCATCGAGAAATGTAAATATTAATGAATCGCTTGTTTACGAGGAATAACTAGTAGAATTATACCAAGATGAAATATGACTATCAAAAGTAAATAGATTGAGTATTTTTTTTACCCCTTTTATATTTGTGATCATCGGATCGCCTCAAGATTTGTTTATAAAGAGAAATAATATTATAAAGAAAATTTCACACATGTCACGCGTAAGATCCTGGTGCTAACAAACCAAACCATAGTTGAATACAAGTTTTATATAAGTTATATCATAGTTACAGTGCAGTTACAAAGTGTAACATCCCGATTTTCGCCTCCATTTAAAACCTATTTTAAATACAAAATTTATTTTCAAAATTTGGTACTTATTTGAATTTTGGTTTGTACCGTTAGAGATTTCTACTCCATCATCCAAAGTTCACAAATATAATCCTAGGATTATTAGAGTCCAATGTCCCATTTATAGTACAGTCCATTTACAATTTTCGAAATTCAAATTTCAATCCAATTCAAATCCCCTTCAAATTCCAAATCCCAAATTCCCAGGAAAATACAACGTGATCCTATTCGTTTGGGGTGAAAATTTTCTCCTTTCCCCTCTCTCCGTCAGCCCAGCAACCAGGCCGGCCCATCTCCCTCCCCCAATCCCCGATGGCCCAACCAGCCCAGCTGCCATCTTCTCCTCTAGGCAGCCACTTGTGCGCGCCACCTGCTCGACGAAATGTCGAGCCACCCCGCACCGCTCGCACAACGCCGTGCGCCGCCCCGAGTCGTGCACGCGCCGCTCCGCGACGAATCCCGGACGCGCTGCCTCCTTTTTCGCCGGCAAAACCCGCCGGCCATGTGGGCCCCCGCCGACGACTTTCTCCGCCTCCCTGTACCCGTACCCGGCACAGCGCCGTGCTGTGGCCTCCCGCGGTCCCACGCCGACGCCGTCCAGCCCGTCTCTCCGCTCGACACATCAGTACATCACCCCTGCCTTGCCCTCTTTTTGCTGACGTCCGCGACTCGCCAACACCCGCTACCCTCGGTGCACCGCCTCGCCTACTCGTGCTTCATCGCCTGCGGTCGAGAGTCCACGCCGAAAGCCACACTGCCACCGTCCTCGCTCCCCTGTGCCACCATCACCATGCCCCTTACCTTTGCCTCTGCGCCATCGCTTCCCGGGTGCTCTCGCCGCCAGCACCTCCCCTGCCGCCAACCCGGGGCGCCGCCGCGTGAGCGCCGCATCCACGACCGCCTGCTGCCGGTCTCCCGCCAGTCCGCCGTTTACGCCATCCCTTCCCCCTGCCGTCTCCACCTCCGCCTGGCCGGAATAAAATCAAATATTTATTGATATTTTATAATGGTTAAAGTTGTTTTCTAAAGAATGTGTCATTGTCCAAAACGACACATATTATCGACCTAGAGAAATACTTATAGTGTAAACATACGTGCACACACTTTTATTTGATTTTGCTATATATTTATCAATAAATTATATTGTAACTTACATTATACTAACTCCACACACATACACACACACCCACGTACGTACGTATGTATGCATGCATGTATGTATGTATACTGACTCCACAGTGTCCACACATATAACTTGCATATAACTTTTACATACATATATATATATATATACACACACTGACTCCACACATACACACAGTTCTACCCTTTATTCTCTCTAATAGATTACACACTTAACATATTTAATTATGAGTCAAGTAAGTCCCGGGCCCAAACAAGAAGAATACGGCATCTGATCGATCAGAGCAATCGTCGTCTCTTATATGTAACCATCACTTTACCTTTAGGACCTGGAATGAATTTCTCCCATTCTTCCTCTGGGAAAGGGGAGATCAATTCGAGGTCAAAGTTCCTGAGCAAATGGCTCCATATCACCTTAATTTGCATGTAAGCGAAATCCTCTCCCAAACAAACGTGCCTCCCGGCACTAAACGGTGTGTAGGAGAACTTGCCACCAACTTTGTCCTCCTCTCTACCAGGACCAAATCTACTTGGGTCATATACATTAGGGTCCTTATAGATGTAGGGCAGTCTGTTGCCGACAGTCGTACAGGTGGCCAATGTATGTCCCTTGGGGATTTGATACCTGTGGCCTTGTCTTGTTTGTACGCTGAAGCTCTTGCTTGCGTGGCGTATCAGCAGGTTTGCTGGAGGGTGCAACCGTAGGGCCTCTTTGATGCAGTGAGTCAGTGTGGTCATCTGTAGCAAGATGCCCCAGTTTATGCGATCCCCATGTTGCTGGATGATTCTTTTCTGCTCTTGGATGGCGGCTGCCAAGTAGCTTCGGTGGCCATGGCTGAGCAGGCAAGCTCCTGTCCATGTGCTGGTGCTGGAGCTCGTGTGCTGCGCAGCAAACATCATGCAAATGAGTAGCCCGGCGATCTCATTCTCGGTCATGCAGCGGCCGTTGATGTATTTGGAGTCTAGGAATTTCTGTAGCACATCATCCTCAGCTACGCCTGAATTCCTGCGTGATCTCACTGCCTCGTGGATCATCTCCCCGAGCATAGCACGGGCTTTGTCGCGCCGACGGTGCTGTGGGGTAGGGAGATATGGGAAGAAGAGGCTGATCAAGTGGAAACCGTTGTCGAAGAGCTCATGGAGGAGTGTGGATACTTGTTCCAACTTACTCTCCCCGAACTGTTTTCCAAGCAAGCATCGGTTTGCAATCAGCAGGATCAGGTTCCCCATCTCATACTTTATGTCCACTACGCCATCTTCCCCCCACTGTGCAAAGTAGCCCTACAAATTGCAGTGGCCAATCAATCTAGCTAGGATCAAAATTGAGACATATATAATACGCATGGGACTAGCTCTGGCATCTATACTAAGTCATAACGCAAAATAAAACATATGAAAACTCTCTCTCTCTCTCTCTCTCTCTCTCTCTATATATATATATATATATATATATATATATATATATATATATATATATATATATATTACTAACCAGCAAATTGCAAAATCGCATATAAATATATAGGAAAAATCAAACCAAAAGTCAAAAGTATGCATGATACCACATAATCAAAGAGGCAGATCTCCTGCCCTGAATTATTCAGTGAGATCATCAAATGGTAAAAGTTCACGCTAGCAAATTAACCTGCTAACAAAGAATGTTGTTCAATCAATAATATAATTAATGTTCATCATCATCTCCTGTTGGACATCACTACACCAGGCATGCCTGCTAGCTTGCTTGCTTATCACATATAGCCAAGGGCGAAGATAGCATCAAAACAAGGGGGTGTGCACTACCATTGAAAATTTATAAAATTTTAATGCAATACTATACATTTTAGTGTTTTCAAGTGAGAAATTATGAATTTAGGGGGGTTCATGTGCACCCTCTAGTTTCAACATGGCTTCGCAACTGCATCTAGCTAGCGCCTATATATATAGATACATGAAGTAGTTCTTCTGGAAGCCGGATCCGTCACACTGGCAAACATTTTGATATATGATCTCTATATATGAATAACATGTACACCAATTGAGTGGAAATATTCAATCCCTTTCTAAATATTTGATGCCGTTAACCTTTTTAAATATATTTGACCATTCGTCTTATTTAAAAAATTTAAGTAATTATTAATTCTTTTCCTATCATTTGATTCATTGTTAAATATACTTATATATATACGTATAGTTTTACATATTCCACAAAATTTTTTGAATAAGACGAACGGTCAAACATGTGGTAAAAAGTTAACGGTGCCAAATATTTAGAAACGGAGGGAGTAATAAGTTAACATGCATGCATGGAAGAAACTAAAAGACCAACCAGCTGGAGGATAACATATAGTGTTTGCATATTGCTCACCTCCACCTCATGAACCATAGAATCAACGTGGCCTCTCAAGTTGATTGGCTTGATCGAGTCGGTACAGAAGCTTATCTGCCTGCTCCTGGTAGCCAAGTCCACGTCGTACAGAACCCCACGGCCGAAAACGGGAACAGTAACTTTGTAGATATTGGACTGCCGGATCTCCGATTCTGAGGCTTGGAAGAAATGAGCCGTCACCAGAAGGGTCACCAGTCTCGAGTGTAGGTCATGGATCACAGCCGGTAGACCCTTGGCTATAAGTGTAGGCAGATATGCAGTCAGTACTGAAACTACGCTCATCACTGGTGGAAGAAGTAGTTCTTCTTCCTTATTCTCCTTTTCGTACAGGCACAGGGTTCTTGGTCTTTGTTGGATCATTTTGGTGGCCACAAACAAAACTGCCATGCTCAGACATGCCGCCACGAGACTAGTGATGGTCAGATCCATCGCCACCGCGCGCGCCGGTCAAGCCTAGCTAACACAAGTGTCAATAGGTAAATTAAGCTAGCTGTACAGTTTGGATGAATTAATGGAGTCAGTCATTCCAGCAAAGAAAAAGAAAAGAGATTCCAAGTATAAGCCACGAGAATGATCGATCCGATCCCTTTGCATTCAGAATGGACTGATCATATCATGACCAAACCTAGCAGAAATTAATGTTTCATGCATGGTAGCTATAGGATTCACGTTCACTAGAAAGAAACAACATAAGGTAGTGTTTCCCACTCGTACGTGTATAACATTGTGTTGTGGCATTATATTTCTGCTAGCTCCTGCGGTGTGATCAACACAAAGGGTTTCTGGCGTCAAATGGAAGGCTTCAAATGGCGTCAACACGTACAAGGGTACGTACCAATTCGCTGACCCTTTCCCCATCCAGTTGGGCCAGATAGATGTTCGACGTACGTAGGTTTCAGGCCAACATATATTTTATTCGGAGCATAAATGATTTCACAATATATGTGGAGCTGTAATGGATCAAACATTTGGAGCGAATTGAAACAAAGTGCGCTTAATCATGCACTACTTAATGTTGAAGTAGACATCGTAGACAATAATTATACTAACTATATGTACCACGTACATGCGGTATGCACACAAATTGGGTGATGTGTCACTACTAGAAAAATGATCTTTACTGAGTCACATAAAAATCACATTAGTCCCGGTTTGAATAAGAACCGGTACTAAAAATATATTTAGTCCCGGTTTAAAAGCCTACATGTACTTCTTTGATATTTAGTTTCGGTTGGTAACCATTTTTAGTCCCGGTTCAAAAACATGTCAAACCCTCATTATCTTTAGCCCCGGTTGAAATTACCAACTGGAACGGTTGTTTATACCAACCGGGATCGAAACTAAAAAAAATCGCGAAAATCTAGCCCCGAGCCCCGCGTGCCATTATCTCCAGTAGTGCTTACTCGTCCTTATCCGATTCTCTCCTCCTCCCTTCTCATCCTCTCCTCCTCCTCCCCTCTCATTTTCTCTCCTCCACCTCCCGGCCATCTCCTCCCCTTCCTCCCCTTCCCATCTCCTCCCCTTCTCCCCTCCTCCGACGACGGCGACGGCAGGTGGCGGCCGGAGGCGACCCGACGGAAGCCGCCGCGGAGGAAACAATGGTGGGATAGGCGGCGGCGCACGGCCGGGCGGCCTCCCCTCCGCCAGATCCGGCGGGAGGGGAAGCCTAGTGGCGGCGGCCGAGAGGCGGCGCGCGGCGGGGTGGCGACGGCCTGGAAGCGGCGCGTGGCTGGCGGCGGCGGCCGTCATGATTTTGTGATCTTTTTAGATGTTTGGAATGATTTGTAAACTTTGTTGTAGTTTATTTTAGATTTTGTGGATGATTTTGTGAATGACTTGTAGATTGTGGATGATTTTGTGGATGGGCATGTGAATTATGGATGATTAATTTGTTGTGCATGATTTGGGAATGGAGTGAAATTAATATGCAAGGAATTAAAAACAATGAAAAAAACTAAAAAACCTACCAATCGGTTGGTGTTACCAACCGAGACTAAAGATGAATTTTTTAGTCCCAATTATTTCACTCGAGATTAAAGATAGTTATCTTTAGTCCTGGATTTATAGCCCGGTTGTATAACGGGGACTATATAGGGTTACGAATCGGGGTTAAAAACCCTTTCTCCAGCAGTGGTTGAATATGTCTAAAATATCCGTCGAACTCTCTCTCTACATATATTATCTTTGAATGGTAGTATATTTGGACAAGGCAGTGTCATTTTCAATGCATGTAATGTGATTGTGATTATGAATGTATATGTCATGGTTCTGTGATTGGGAATGTACGTAATTGTCGATGCAATGTGGGTGTGAATGTGATTGTCACTGCAAGTTAGTGTGAATGTGCTTGTCAAGAGAGCAGTGCGACGTGATTTTGATTGTCTATGCGATTATCACAGGTGGCCATCCTAACCAGCCCGCCTTGAAAAATGTTATCACAAGCGACCATCATAGGAAAAATCATTATTGCATGCAGCGCACTTAAGTCAGCTGCATGTCATAACGATTTTCGCACGCTGACCTGTTAGGACGCCTGCCTATGATCACCACGATAATATATTTTGGCACGTGGTCCGATTGGCCGTCTATAAAAATCCCCATTAATTTACACGTATACTTACAGGTGATCCGACCAGCCGCAGGTAAAAACCGATTCTGGCCAAACCGATTTTATAGCAGTTCTATGTACATACAAAATAAATTTTAATTTCTAACATTAGAATGTCATAATAAGTGTTTATATGTAGGATAAATTTTCAATTTACTATTTCTTTGAACTATGAAAAGTATAACCCATAATTAAAACATTTAAAAATAAATAAGTCATAAGAATAAATTAGAAGCATGAATTCTTATGTTTGATGTCTGGAACAATATATACTAAAAAAATATGCCAAGTTGGTTGCAAATGAAAATTTACAATTTTTATTCTTGGGTTATAATGATTTACCTTTTAATTAAATACCTGGAAAAGTTAGATATCTATCTGGAATATCATCGATGAATCCAAAATCAGCAAAAATGCGTTAAAGCATATAATACTTGCATTATCTTGATGATCTATATTTCTTTGTTAGAAAGAGTCAAGAAAATACAATGGAGCTAAATTCATGTTTGCCTATAGGTTATTATCTATTTCTAAATGGAAACAAGTGATGGTTAAGTAGTTGAAAGAAATGTACTGCTAGCCTATGCAAGAAAGGTTGATAGGATATTCCAAGACGTATGTTAGGATCTTATTGTTACAGGGAGCTAGCATGACATGGATCGTGCTGACCAAAATGTCATAGAATTGTGTGTTCTTAATAATGTAGGGTCAAGTACAAAGGCATGGATTCTCAATGGATTATGATCTGACAACACCTATATTAACGGGCCATTATTGAAAAAGTACCGGAAGTATCACATTTTATAAAATTTGGTACCTTCAAGTATTTGTTATATACCTTGAGGTACCAAAATTTTTAGTGTAAAATCTTGGTACCTTCAGGTATTTTCTTAAGGACTTCTTTATTAACATTTCAGATGAGTATGTTAATATCTATGATTAATTACTTTATTATCCACGTTATATACAAATGAATGTCATAATTCAATTATTCATGAATGTGCCCTTTTAAATGATGGAATTTATTACTAAAATTTATTAACTTTACATAGAGTTTTAAAAATCAATAATATATATAGATTTCCATTTATAAGAACATACTGCAGTTCCATCCCTATATATATATATATATATATATATATATATGACGCGGTTGACTTTTCTCATAATATTTGACCCTTCGTTTTATTTAAAGAATTTAATATAAACATCTAAAAGTATAAGTTAAGATTATAATTTCTTTGATGATAAAACAAGTCATAATAAAATAAATGATATTTATATAATTTTTTTGAATAATGCGAATTGTCAAATGTTATGTGAAAAGTCAACAGCGTTATACATTTTGGAATGGCGAGAGTATTTCAATAATCAAAGAGACTATGCATTATTTTAAATTTGATAGAATCATGCATCATTCTCCGATCTGATTCTGTATATATTTTCAGTCCTGTCAATAAAAACGTTCCTGCCTAAAATCAAAATATTAACAGCCTACGTACATGGCTTGATGGTTAGCATACACTTCCCGTAGTAGTATTACCGAACTAGAATGTGTGTCAGGTATAAAATGTGAGAGAGAGAGGAGAGAGAAGGGGGGGGGGGGGGGGAGAGAGAGAGTTACACTTGTTTCTACCTTGATTGAAGCAGGCCGGCCTATGCAACAAGCTAATTAAGATGGGCGAGACTGACCGTGGATGGTATAATGAGCGAGCCACCTTTTATAGGCGCCAGCGCTCGGATTTGTTATTATACTTGGGATTAAATTCTACGGCTTTCGTTCGGTCAAGTACGAAATTTCTGCGGCTACAGTTACTTATAATGCTGCCTTTCAAGAAGGCCAGGTAAGTCTTATACGGAACTGGAGTACCTAATAATTACTTTCTCTGTTTCACAATGTAAGACTTTTTAGCATTACCTATATTTATATAGATGTTAATAAAAATTTAGGCATAACTTCTAAATAAATATGAGCAATACTAGACAGTTTTACAATATGAAACAGAGAGAGTACGAAATTCTTTATGGTCTGGCGACCGGCGGGGGAGTAAAATCGGGTGCTCCCCTCACGAGACGCACGTGCCCCCTGGCCCCACCACGTCTCCCTGCCCACCTGCCACGTGTCTCCACACACATACTCCGTTGCAACAAATCACCCATATATTTTGGAAACCCTCTATTAAAGGAATTCGTTTCATTTTTTTGTTTCACCAAAAATGTTTCACCTAGTGTACTTATAATGTTTCACTACATATGGATCAAATGTTGTAGTGAACTGAAATATTCTTTCGCTATTTGCTGAAACATTGTTTTTATATAAGGTGAAACAGCGTCCGATTTAAACGATTGAAACATTTTCGATCCACTTAGTGAAACAATTCCGATATACTTGGTAGAACAACGTGCAACATTTAAAAATAATTCAATAATAAGCAAAAAAAAAATTTCGTCAGAATATATCTATATGTGGTCTTGTTTCAAAGATTTAATTGCAACGAATTTAATGTTACAATCGAATCATGATTTGGATAAATAATTTAAGAGAAAAAATAATTTAAAGTAGTTTTTGCATGATGACATCAGCATGACGTGGGGGCCCAATTTTCCCACTCCGGATCAAGTACCCAACGTGTAGTTATCTCCTAATAGTTACTAATCAATAACAACTAATCTTAATTAATTACTATAACATCTCCAACGACTATTCTCGTACATGGAAAAAAATTGAAAATTTCATGTACTCATCCGTCACAAACTATAAGTTCTATATTTTTTTACA